TTTCAATCAATAATTTCTATATATTAACTTTGATATCAACTTACCCTTTGGGCGTATCAAAATTATTGTAAAAAATGAAACTGAACATTTCAATAACAATTGCAAAGTCATTCTCATGAATATAAAAGTAAATCATATATGGCTCCCCGATAACCGTCACCTATTTCTTGGTATTTTATTGTCAATCCAATAAATTGTTATTTCCTTTTTTTTACTACAATTGGTTTACATACTGGTTTCGGTAGTAGTCTCGCTCGTATACTAGTGCTGCTTCTATGACTTTACATTAGAATTTTAGTACGAGTATCTATAGTAGCGTGCCGTACAAGAAAGGGAACTACGTAAGTTAGGACTTCAGTGATCTATCTATTCTATATTCTTATTCTATACATATAATAAAATCGTAGAAAAGTCAAAACTGTATATTTAATGTTTTTTTAAAGAATACGTGGGGCGTGATGTCATATCGAAACCGAAGCCAAATATATGGTTTTTGGAATTTTTGTCTGTTTGTCTGTAAGTACCTATGTCCGAGATGATCTCAAAAAGTACTGCATGGATTTACTTTAAATTCTGCATGAATATAACTAACATCACGCTATCATCTACAGAGGAGGAGCCCTATACTAGATACTTAATCAATTCTGACGACATTCGTTACCGTAGAATATCCCTTGATAAAGACTAATTCAAGAGCATAAATTCTGGCAGAAGTCATTATTCTACGCAGATGAAGTCGCAAGCAACAGCTAGTAATAACTAAATGAGCCCAGGATAGGCCAAATGAAATCTTCCCCCATTCAAAGAATAGATGCGAATCCCGTTGTCGGCGCAATGTTAGCGGACCACGAAATAACCAAAATACGCTCACCAGCAGAGAAATACCATTCACACGACCGAAATACGTTTGCATGAAAAATTATTCACGCTATTTCAGATTCAGCCGCGCCGTCCGTATCTCTTATGACAGATTTCTCTGCTCATAAACATAAATTTTCCAGCGGGGCCGATACTCGTGGGAACCCACCTCGGGGCTCTCGCGACCACCAACACTCAACGACTTTTCACTTTCTTAACCCAAAACCAACCGAATTTAAACCCTGAAACGCAACACTTAGAGTTTAATTTTGGAGCACCGTCGAGTGTAGCTAGAAAATAAAGCTGTTTCAGAAAATTGCACGCTATCAAAACTACAACGGTTGCGTTTGCAATAAAACAAAATGGCGATGGCTGTAGGGTTGGCATTCCTTTTGTGTTGATGAAAGTTCGTTTACGACTACAATAATTATGTTATTATTGTTTTAATAGAACAATTTTTTGCGATAGTTTCGTTGAAGAAACTTTGCTGAAAATTACATTTAGGATATAGCGAATCTTTCAAATGCTAAGTCCACTTGTAACATACGACACGATTTTGTAATAAATCAAAATGTCTGGCAAAGGAATTACTGATACAAATCCCCTCCATTAGTACCGTAGGAATGAGGAACATAGACAGCCCTATGTGACAGTTGCATAAATAAATGCTCGCGCATAAATTTCAAAATAAGAACATCGTTTATCGAAGACTATCGAGGAGACATCTTTGGGGATGTATTATGTTATATCTCGAAATTAATGCTTTTAACATGAAGTTACTTTACAATAGGAGAGAAGGAGATAGAAGATGAATTGGAGCGACTCATCGTTAACTTTGATTATAAGGGTATTTTTACATTTCTGTCAATTTCATTAGCACAGTCGTACAATATTAAGGTTGACATCAAAAGGAAAATTTAGGATTGATTTGGTCGCCGGCAACCAGTTGCGCAACCAAGTCGACACCAAATTCTCCATACATTGTAATCATTATCGCTACTGATGCCTGGTATCTACCAAATGTATAGTCCTTTAGACCAGCTTCTATCGTACAAGCCCGCATGGAGAATACAGGAGATGACAAATATATACTTACTTTACCATCTCCACATTGCACAAATGTCTCCACATTTTGTTCGTTTGGCGACTTGGTTGCTCGACCAGGCTGCCCTCGTGAAATGAGGTTTTTACTTACTAGGTTTTGTCTTGTTTAATGTCTGTATTGCATAAAATCGCTATCTGTTGTGTAATATTTTAAGGGAAGTAATAAAATACAACATGAAATGTTTTATGGTGCAATATTTGAACTATGTAATATGAATTATTTGTTTTCATTTTTGTTACTAAGCGCATAATGGGGTGAATTCGCCTGTTCACGTCCATCCAAAAAAGTTCGCCTGTTTACGTACACTCACTAGTTTGCGCCTATTTTACGAATTATAACTACAGTAATTATAAGATACTAAAAACGTGTAAGATAAAACAAAAATGCACTAACTACTACTAATACGATAGTAGTTTTTTTTCGGGAACTAAGTAATGGCGTTCCGTAAAATGGACGCGAACAGGCAAATTTACCTTAACTGTAAAAAAAGTCTAAATAAAAAAAAACATTTTCTTTTTTCAAAAGAGAAAGGTGTAGAGGAAACAGGGGTTAAGCCAGGTGGTGACAGCAAAGTAGAATATATTTTTTGACGTAGGAGCAGACTGACAGTAGAGAATTATGACCAACCTTCTTACGTAGAGAAGCTTAATAGTCCAGCATCGAACTGTAACTGGTTTTTGATGATAATGAAAGTAACAATACCAAGGGATGGAAAGTAATTCAATAAAACCATGAAATTCAAATTTTTGATCAATTTAATATTTTTAGTAACAACTAATCAATATTTTAATTATAAATAGATACTGCTAATGTACAACCAATATTATAATAAATTGTGTCAACCCCCAAAAAGCGGTCACTGGACGAAATATATTTCAAAAGGTACATTTATTATTATACAGACTTGAGATTCAGATAAGTTCAGCTGATTTCAAATGTATTTTTACTTAATATAAACAATTTAAAATGCTACATTCACATAAATAACTTAAAATTATTAATTGTATTAAGACAATATTTACATGCGTAAAAAACGAATTTACAATGACATTTATTCAATTAGGCTGTATTATAATTTTGTTAAAAACTGTTACAACTGTCAGGTTTAAAAAATGTTAAAAAAAGAATGGCACCAAATCGATTTTTGAAATTCATAACGGATTTTTTTTTAATTACGTTAAAATACTTTTTATCACAATAGCTATCATGCTAAAATTCAATACAATGGCTTTGAAAAATCCAGTCATGGATATTACATCTAGGAAATTATAAAAAAAATACTTCAGTCTTTTAAATCCGATGCAGTATCAGTTCCTCAGACTCTGTCATTGAATTTCGAAACATTTTTTAAAAAGTTACCTATGTACAGAGATCCGATTTAGTAAGCGTTTTTTTTATATAACAATACATCGATACGTACTCAAATACCTGTTTTAAATAATACCGATTGTTTTAACATCGGATTTTTTACTAAAACTAACACGTTATTTTACTTTAAAACTTTTAAACAATTTTAAAGTAAAATAAAATAAATTAAAACAAGTTTTAATAAATATTTTTTATAAAAAACATACTTGACGAGTTAGTATGCTTAGTGCATTATTATACACAATATAAGCTCAGTAGGATTAGACTACCTATATATACGTACTTACTGACTATACTATGTATATATCACATATGAAATATCATTCAAGTTGATATAATTACTTGCATGATCAATAAAGCTTCCTCGTTTATTGGCAAACTACCGAATTTGGAATGTCAAACTATTTGTCATCGAAAGGGGGAAAAGCAGATTTTTTGTCAAAAAAGTGTCAAAGATGATTCTAGAAAGAACCGAAGTTAGTAAGTTAGTCCAAAAGGTTATGAGTTTTGAGGTTCTGAATGGAAACTCGCCAAGTGAATAGTTCGCTTTACAATCCTGTCTAATTACAAACACAAATATGTTTAAAAAACGTTAACATTTAACGTTGCTATTGTAGTAGCACATGCATTTACACTAAGAGCGGCTGAAGAGACGAGCATAATTATGTATAAATGTAACGAGACAGCCTGGTTCGCGTGCAACACTATCTGCATGTATCGAACGCAACACGCATACAATATTATACGTATAATACTGATTATTTAATTCGTTTAATATTTAATTAAAATTCTCCAGAGCGTTTATCTCGTAATGTGGGACACTTTTACGACGGCGCTACTTACTGACTGATAAGCCCAACGCTACCTCCGCCGCTGAACACCCAAGAAGACACTTTATGCAAATGTCATTAAGCCACAAATTCCATTAGCCGGGTTAATTATAATATGAAATTATAATTACAAGATAATTTCGCTGTTGAATCTCAAAACAGTTATGCGAGCATACACCCAACGCGGACGTCCATAAAATAGAAAGTATTTATAAAACTCAAATGATTATTGCCGCTGTTTTAATAATTGCAAATAACTTCTCTGAAAAACTTGAATATTAACTTTGGAATGATATTAAGTAATATCATATAAAGTCTCGTACGAAATATCAGTTCGCGTACGCGTCTCCTTGGGATGCCCAGTCGAGTATGTACGTTACCTACGAATAAATAAATTACACAGCTGACCGCGTAAGGAAACCAATAAGTCCAATTTAGAATAAATACAAAATGAGCCGATGATAGAAATAAATCGTTTGTAAACTGGTCTCATTAATTTCCGAACGACAGTGTCCAAAAAAATAAAGTTACTAGATCACATGTTCGCACTTAATAGTCAAATAAATTAACCGAACGAGTAGCTTACTTTAATTTTACGCCGGATCAATTATCATGTATAAAAGAAGAAATAAACAGTGATAGAGAAACTATTTACATAAGTCAACATGATATACGATTTCGACGACTTGGATAGATGAAAAAGTGAAGTGATTATATACAAGGTCCGTTATCTGCCTCCGAATGAGAAAACAGGTCCACTCTCGAGTCTGAGTCACAATCACATCTGTTCCACACTAAAGTTTCTCTCATTGATCACTTCGTCATCAGCGTACGCAAGTCTATAAACACGTGTGCACCACTTTTTCCGTTGGACAGAGCTTGCACTTGACTTCGCAGCACCAGTGGAAGGTGCAGTTACACCGCTCCACCACGTACATGGTCTCCGTCCGGTACCCTCGGCCGCAGCACATGAGGTCGCAGCCGTCCACTCCGATGCTCGTGTCGTTGCAGGCACGCCCGTGTGTACCGGGGATGCCTAGTCTTGGGTTCTTTTCGCAGAAACCAGGCGATGATTCTAAGTAAACCAAGTCTTTGGCCCCAGGCGACTTATGGTCTGGATTGTGAGGCCGCAGTTGGAATCGATATCTGTCTCTCCGTGGCACCCTGTGCGGTGCCGCATCATTCCGCTGCGCTGGTGACTCCAGGTCAGTGTTAGGCATCATGACCCGCGATGCACCGTCGAAGCGGTCTTTCAGCGAATCGCCCACAGAGCGAAAGCTGGGCAGCCTCATCCAGCAAGTCTTGACGGTGCACGAGCCAGACATGCCGTGACACTTGCATTCCTGCCGCATCTCCGTTTGCACATGCTGCGAACAAAACAACGCAATCAATATCTCGTACGTTAATTTATTCTATCATGGGGAGGTCTATAATGATGTCCAAATATCTTTAAATTCCACCGATAAGCTTCGATACAGTGTGATCGATGATCTTTTAAGCGTACTCCATCGATCGCATCTCACGATCGAGCAAATTGTTACAAATCGTGAAGAGGTGGGCCGGTCGTCACCGCGCGTGGACCGATCATAAATCATACTCTAGGGACATTCATCATTCTTAGAAGGTAGATAAATGACGCGAGGATGGGAGACAGTAAATATTTTCCTATCTCGGAGCGCAGGCGCTTCGTAGAACGTAGACGACGGTATTTATTCATTGACATGTAGATGGCCGCGTATGTTATACAGTCTAGTGTCCAAATATGTGTTAAACAATCGATGGAATGCTGTGAATATTCATCAGCTGGACACCCAGTGCGTCTGTCGTGACAGGAATTAAGCGCTTGGGTTAATGACGCGTCTGGGTGGCTCGGGGCGCCTGACGTCCCTTTTTGATGAATTTTGGGCAGGAGCGGACAGTGGATATGCAAATGTGGGTGTGTGGTGGGAGGGAGATGCGCGAGCGCAACGAATGAGTGCTGGTTGCGCAGTCGTCGCGCGCTGGGCCGCGCCGCCCGACGCATAATTAATATTACACAACGCGACATGTCAAGTGGCTGGCGATTGATCGTCATCCATAATGGTAATGTAAACACTGCGCGATGACATTGGCCGTCATTGGCGATAATGATTGTTTTATGGATGTTTATAAGGTGCTATCGTCGAGTGGCGATTGGATAAGCATATTGACAGGAGTGTTCGACACTTACCGCTCGTCCAGCCTCGTTGTTGTGTAGGTTCATTTTTTCTCTTAGGGTTTTGCCTCTTTCACCAGTGTCAACAAATTCGCGGCTGAATCTGAAGCCGAAGCCAATGTTGTCACTGCAGCCGCCCCACTTCCAGACGCGGACATTGGCGGCGGCAGCGGCGCGGGTTCGGTGCGGTACACGGTCAATATGTGAATAATCGCACGTGCACGATTCTATGGAGCCTTCTGCGCACGCGCGTGCCACCGCATGTGTCACTCCCGCGCTAGTGATGGCATAGATGAATGCTGTTTCGCGGCAACCTGGTGACAATAGAAATGTTGTTTCATTAATTTATGCTAATGTATGAAGAAAGGAAAAGTGGTTATGCAACCTACTTAAAATTGTTGAAATATCTTAAAAGTCATAATAGATTTGGGACGTGGGAAATCAGGTGGCATAAAGGCTATCTAGATAATCGTTTAGATTAAATCCACTGATTAAAAAAGCACGTGTAGGTATACCTACGTTATTAACTTGGCAGTTACACATATTTCACTTTGGCATGTTTGGTATTCGTATAATTAATTCATCCCAACTGCGGAGGGGTCCATATTTTAATCAAATTTTATTATTGCTCCGGGTATGGGGATAAAAAATCTCGACGTTTTAAAATATTTTAGGTATTATAATTTAAACACGCAAAACATTTGGGCTCATCAAGCAACTGCAATCCGAGGGATTGAATTGGCTTTACTCTTTTTAATCGTATCAATTTATTGACATTTTTAATTTGTTGACAGTATCAAAATCCTTTTCGAGAGCAATGGGCACATTAGTTTTTTAATTTCATTCGTAAAATTCTATCTCAAGTTTCGACCTGTCCGCGCGATTTTATACTTCGTAATATATGTGCGAGGGTCTGATGATATTAATTCTAAATGATACATTCCTTAATGGGGCGAGAGGAGTAATCAAAGTAAACTGAATATAAAGTATAATTACTGTGTTTGGAGTTATCAAGTGAGGTTATAATCGTTTAAAGCAACAAGATCATTAAGTTTATATTCACACAATAAAGACTTGAGCAATGATTGCATCGCGTTCATTCATCCCGAACGGACGAATACATAAATCGATGCTTGCATCCCGTATCGAATACTATAAATAATTAATGGCCCGGCATTAGAATCAAATACTCATAAAATACAATTAAAAGAGAGAGAGCGTATATCTCTGAGATTGAAAATAAAAGAACTGCCTCTTACCTACCCGAGAGATTATAAATTTGATCATTACAAGTGGTACGGCGCGCGCATCGAATTCTCTCTCTTAATATCGATTTAATGGCCCTTGTACTTTTAACGATTAATACCATACCGAGCCTTTGTCTACGCGAGCTCGGCTCCACAATGAGACGATATTATTAACCGCACCGGGACCTCTGTGACGTAACCCGTTCACCATACGACATAATTAAAATATCGATTATAACTTTTAATGATTCATAACAACCAGAACATGATTTCGGAGGACGATATTGTCTTAGCCATCATGTTCTGACTTTATCTCGTAGACATTGTAATTTTACGGCATAATGCGGATTAATACGGCCATTGTTGAGCCCTCATTAAACGCTCATCCTGAACGCATCCAAGGTTATGACGGAATTCCTCAAAAGCTATTAAGAGCTGATCTTGATCGCTAAATGCCTGAATGAAAATAAAACTGACAATTAACGTCGTTCTAACACAAGTGTAATCGCGTGTCACCTCGCCGGCTAATGCCATTCATTTAGTAATATAGTGAGGCTCGCGCGCTCCTTTGGTGGGCTTCCGGCCACCGACGCACCACTATAAAATCCCTTCGGAAAAAACTCACCGACCCCGTATGGATGTAAAAATAATAAGGAACGCGTATTTGTTGTTATTTATAATAATAATATGTGGAACGGGCCCGGAGCAGGCCGCGCCATCTTTATTAAGGACTCAATAAGCAAATGAAATCATTTTTTTATTGAGTTGTCATCGTGCACCGATATAAATTACGGTGCGCACACACTGCCGCGGACCGCTCTCGGATTCGCTTTTTGTGCCTCCCTTTGGGATGTTATACAAAAGTATTTTATTCAGCAATTACTTGAGACGTTCGACCGGGAATTTTAATGTCAATTTCGCCATCATTCAATGCTCGGACGAAATTAATTCAAGGTAGGGATACGTACATACGAGCGGTCGCGGACTCGTGCATTTATCTTCTGTAATGACTTGGAAACGTTCGCTCGTATTAACTATAACGTATAGGTGAGGCCAATTAAATATGGCACACGTAAATAATGCTCGTGGAATTATAGCTTTCGGCTAATCGAGTTTAACATTTAGATGTAATGTGCTATGTGTACTAGGGGTGAGCTGCGGATGGAGACGGTTCGCGAGGTTAATGGTTGAGTTTTATGGTTGGGTTATAAATCGGAGGCTTCACGGATATCTGTTTTAGTGCATTACGAGTGAGCGAAGTTGGAGGTCGTGCGGCGGGGTGCCACCGGGCGGCGGCGGGCAGGTGCTCGCACCACGTGCTGCGAACACGTCTTCATAACCCGTAGATAAATGTCGCCACATCTGGCCACCACAGATGTGAATCACTGCCCGCTGTGATTTTAACATCGCTACTTTTACTTTATCTCCGACATGATCTAACGGTACGCTGCTACCCGACCAATTAGATACATAAACGACAACTGGAAATAATTTTTAATTGGTCTGTGAGAATTTAAGGCTCGTCTATTGATGATTCACGGCCGTACCTCGACCTGTTTGACATCGTACAGTAGTGATGCTTTGTCCTGCATTAAACATAAGTACCCATTTATAACTATAAATAAATTGTTTCAATATTTCATCGTGGTGTGTGCGACGACCAACAAAGCCGATTGTCGCGTTATGCGAATAAATCGCGACGTAGAAAAATTATGACAGATGTAAAAAGGCTTTGGTCGTGTGTGCGTATTAGTCACGGTATTAATATAATGTAAATTCCCGACACGAGCCTAATTAAACGACCAAACAACGCTAATCCGAGCCAGACGCTGCAACTTCTACAAATAGCCATCAGTTACTGGCCCTGCTCTGGTACAGGCCTACGCAATAAAATATTCATAATTAAGGTGCGCTATTATTTTATTGAGGCAATTTCGCCCCATCAAATTGCAGTCAAATAAAAACAAACATGAGTAATGTGGATCTATAAAAGTAAATTATTATTATAACTGATAATAAAGTGCTGTCTGTGGATTATCTGTGCAGATAATAAATGGTCCCGTGGTGGGTTTACAGCGCGAGCACCAAGCGATAATTCCGTCTCGACGGATTGCCAGTTAAGGCGAGGCGTTGAGAATTTATAAAAGTCAAAAACTCGTAAATCCGAGTGCGAGTCCGCCGCATCGCACTGTTAAAATAAAACTTAATCACTGTTGACATTTGACGAACACCTGGCCCCGCGGCCACTGCTATTAAATAATTCAAAATTAATGTACTAATTAAATATGTTCCTGTCCGCATTGAGTCATCACGCCAGGGTGTTTCCATAAGATTAATTTGAAAGATTGACTTATAAAGGTTTCGCGTCGCGCCTCTCCAGCCTTATTTATGACGACTTGCATTATTCAAATTTGATGAGACGTAATTACTCAAAACATCCATAAATCACTCGGTTTTATAATACGGTGTTTGGCCGGTTTAGAAATCGTTCCGGCTCGCACTGCTTTATCGGACTACGATGAAGTCATTGATGTCGTGTTATTTGTATCTAAACATGTCTTTTACGAGAATATAATGATATTTTATCTACTGAATAACGAATGCGAGGGTTTATAAAAGAGGAGATTCTTCCGTTAATGAAATAAGAATGGCATTTGATGCGTACTGGGCGACGAATAGAAGCAAAGAAGGCAATTTCGCCGTAAAGGCACTTGGAAGATGGGGCAATAAAAAGCAATAATTCATTTTCGTTATGCCATGTATGGGTGATAATTTCACATTGAGTCCGCGTCCCGAGACTCCGGTGCGACAATTCAAAATTACGTCGGTCGTATATCACTCATTGTGAGTGGCACAAAGCGCTCCCAGCTACCACTAGCTACCAGCGCACAGCGCAGCATCGCAACACCCATTCACACAATGGACAAAGACATTTGTTTTCAAACTAAGAAAAAAGTACCGAAAATAATTTCGTTTTAAGTGAGCTGTCCATAAACAATAAAAGATCGGAGTGTTCGAAACTGGGAATCCGTCGATAAATATGATCTCGGCCTCCGTCCGTCGCGTCGCCGACGACTTAGCTCCTTAATCGCCTCATTTCAGTTTCACAAAACGCGCGTTATCTCGAAAACAATTCAAACGCCACAAAACCCAAAACGCTTATCTAATTGAGCATTAAATATTTCGTCGAGGGCATTTTATATCGGCTTTATTTTCGATGTCGATCGTTTTATACGTTTTATCCACCCACGACGTCGGAACCTCGGGTGCGCGTACGATAAACACCAAAACAGGAAATATTTGAAAAAAGGTCGGGTTTTATTGGCCGAGTTACCTGCCATTAGGAGCTGCGTTAGGTGTAAACGTGGCTTCCGTGGGGCTTGTACGAGTGCAGTGGAATCGCTAAACTACACCACAGGGGGCTCGCCGCGGGAACTCGGACCATATATTTTCTATTCTCGGCTCGACAATGACGCGACGAATAAAGGTCTCACTATTGTGTCCTTGTCATCATTTGTGTTAATACTATCCTTGAGGTTTATACCACAATGAGATGAAGTTGTCGCGTCTGAGTGTCAATGGTGTGACAACGTGTAAATTAGTAATTACAGGTGTCGCGTCCAGGGGGTCTTTGTGTGCCCTGCTCGTGATGATGAGGGACCCAGCTATCCGTTAGCGATTGATGAGTTTCGGGTATTACATTTGCGAGTTTACTTTTTTTGTTTATTGAGTAGCGTTGTGACGGGCTCCCGCGGGGTCGACTCAGTTTTTATGCTTCTTAAATGAACGTAATTGCAATGTATTAAGTTTTTTTATCGAGTGTATTTGCGTCGGTCTGTAATACCGGCGAGCGGCCGCCTCGCATGCCCTTAATAAAGTAATATGCTCTAAATGCACACGCATATAACATAAATTTTGTAATTGACTTGGTCTTTTTATCATGTGGAATGATTACGATGGTGGTCCGCAGCCCGTGCTATATCTGGTTTTTAATTTAGAAAAATGGTACTTTGCTTTTATAGTTTGTATGCTCTCGTACAATATCAATATTTATTTTTTTCTCTAGGCGTTTAGTTTTATGGCTGTCGATGGTAAATACGTGGCTGTGTGCGTAAGAACTATATATCATTCGGATGCGAGCACTAGAATTAAATGATTTAATGTTTTAAATTTATATGAGTGGCTTTATGTCCAGCTGAATTATTAACGGTTATTCATTGTGGTGTAAGCTGACTGGTAAGTGATGTTGTCTAGAGGTTTGTTGGAAGAATTTTCAATGACTTTCGTGTGTAGGAGTGTTGACATTTAAATACCTTAATCGCCAATGAAAACATGAATAACTTTAATTGGTTTTAGAATATAAATAGTTTATTATAAGTCTCTGGTATCGTATTATATTGGGCACATCGCCTTAGGCTATACGACCCGAGCTGACTTTTTCTTTATGATAAACATTAGCGTTGTGTAAACATGTAGCTAATTGCGATTTGTTACCAATTCTGTTTTCATGAATATTTTATAAGCTTAATGGTTTATGACATCTCGTTTTTAATGAGAAAACGTCGTTTGTATCAACAATAGATTTGTTATGTTAGTTTTGATCAGTGTTTCTAGTTAAATTTATGGCATTACAAAATGAATAAAAAAAAAGAAGTCAACGATCTTTTTAACACTTACGAAGCTCAATCAAAATGTGATCAGCAGTTTCGTACGTTTCTTAGACAGACAATCAAACATCGAAATACAAAGAGTGTTCCACAAAAAGTTTGACCTTTGGGGCGGCCTTGTTCTTGATTGAATTGAATTAATTAGTACAATTCCATTAATTATGTTATTAATTGTTCATTTATATTAAGCTACTATTGTTATTCTTTAACTAAATCGAATTTAATTGATTTTTTGACCTTCACCAAGTTATTTTCCTGTGAACTTTTTGCGCTAATAATGTCATTTATCAGACATGAATTAGTTCTACATGGTTTTATATTTAAGATATTTTGATTTTGAGTAAATTGACGTCATTTTATTTGATTTTACCATCTAACTTATTATCAAAGAATTGTTCATTTACATTTTTATTAAGTATGCTCAATGTATAAAAAACTGCTATGATATGACCCCAAGGATATGCTATTAGAAGCGTGGTAAAATATTAAGGAGTATTTTCATTTACTAAAACGACAAAAGTATCCAAGTGGCCTATCCTCAACTTAATAGAGACACAGAAACTGTTTGTTTGTGCCAGTAATTAACGTGTTGGAAGTGAGGGTCAATAACCGAAGCAGAACGCTCGATATATTGCGTTCGATTCAAATGAGATCGAATTAGCTCAAGATATGGTGGGCATAGCTCTTAATTTTCATGATAACCCCCTAATGCTCGCCCTGAACCCGAGTACCAAAAAAGCTTTTTCGCTTTATTGACGATACACATTTTTGTTTATACGGTTTTATTTTTAATAACTGTGTCATCCGATATGATGGTGTTGGTTGTATTTTGGGCGAGTGCAACTTCGATTATAAATGTATCGTAATCGACTAATGATAAACAAACAATTTAAAGTTTTCTTTCTTCTCGAGGAAGTAAGACTACGCCAGAAGCATTTTTGTGTTGCTTATGTAAATTTCTATGTTATTCTAATACTAACATATGAATGATTATTTATCTCTTGCATTTAGTTACTAAACCTAGACATCCGCTCTTGACTAAGAAAAAATCGTAAACATTTTTTCACACTGAGCAGACAACATGTTTATAATATTTAAACTAAAAACATTTGTAGCAAAAAGTATATTAAAAAGAATGCAAACGACATTGAATCACAAAGCTGACTTTTTTTGCTATTATAGCGAATAATTCTTGTTGTACCGAACAGATGTTCACTGGCTCATAATAAGGCATATCGCGTACAAAGCATCGAAATCGGACACCGGAGATAGGGCAGCCCCGATCTGACAACAAAATTACATCTTACGGTTTCCAAACTTGCTCGCCAAGCAATTTGAAACCCTAAACACTTCCAACAAAGACCCCAAAAATTTGAAGTGACCAGAAGACTGTATAACGCATTGCTTTTTAAAACATTTTAATTTCGAAGTGTACCTTTATAAATGTGGGTTATTATTTTAAATTGAAAACTAAGTCTTTATACTGTTAAATAAATTTAAAGCGATGTATAAAGTAAGTGAAGCTTCTATAAGGGATTACTCCCAGTAATGTCCCTCGTGTATTCAATACGGTTTTGTAACCAGTATTGTGGAGCTAATGGGTATCTATTTGCTGATTTATATCTATTGATAATAATCTAAGTCCATTCAAATCAACTAAATGGAATCGACGCTCGCGCAATAGGCGACTGGTGTTTATGGAGTATAAAAACATGTTTTTTTACAACGCACTATAGAAGAATCGATGCGGAATCAAAAACGGATTATGATCTCATTCATAAAAAAGTGAAATTACATTTTAAATCATCATAAAACGGATTTCGAAAGACGATAAATAAAAAATGGACGTAAAAAATAATTATCGACAAACGGGAACTAAAACGTCACTCGACCTCGTGTAATTGATCCAAGATGTTTTATCTTGATGAGTCTCTTATATGTGCCCCCGCCTCGCTACCCTCCCGGTGAACACAGATAAAATCTTTTAAAAGGGTTGCCAACTAAAGATATCACTTAATTTGTAGCCTCTCTTTGTAACTGGAATTGGGGATTTATTCAATACATCCTTTTTGTACCCCGTTGCTCTTTGCAGGGTTAAAATGTAAAAAGTGTAAATACGACGCAAGGTTTTCAGTTCGACTCTTTCAAAGATTAGTCTTTTGAACATCTCAATGCTCTGTAATCTGTTTCCTCAGTATTTTAGAAGGGTATTTAGGGCTTATCTTCTTAAGTTCTTTTTAATGTTTTGTCCATTTTGTTTTGCGATATCAAAATTGAGACAAATGAATGACGCGTGTGCTAAAAAACGTTTTTGCGTTTATGTTTGGTTTTTGTTCGCGAAGGGGACAATAAAATCGTGATTGTAGTATTAACTCGTCAACCTTTGTCAGTTGTTTGGGTTTAATGTGTGTTGTAGCAGCTTACCTCTGTCCACGATTTTGCCGAACAAGTTCTTCCCTCTGAGGAAGTTTCTTGTCGAGCAGTTCCATCTTCTATATTTGAACTGGTGTTGGCATTCGGCGACAGCCATGCTGGCACCTTTAGCTACTGCTGCTAAGACTCCAGGGTTCTCCCTGGCGAGCCTTCTCTGTTTCCGCCTGAGTGTGGCGTGAACTGCCGGGTCCATGTATAGAACCCCTGGTGAAATCGGTGATAGATTATTTGGCTCCCCCGCTTTGGCTATACCCCTACAACAAAATAGGATAGGTTACAAAGTATCCGCAAGAATACGTAATGAAGTAGTCACAAAAACAAATCTCATCGTCCAAAAGCGATAAGATTGACTTTTGTCACTGTAAAAGACAATGCCTGGCGTTCGAAAAATTTAATAAAGAAAAAAAATAAAACAAACACAACCCGTACGCCACTTAAGGCAATGGGTGCAACTCGAAATGAAATGCTCATTTGAAAAGGTAAAGACAACAAACAATTGACGACCGAACTGTCAATCCGCAGACGTTTAGATAAATATTTGCGTCGCGCATTAATCCTTGAGGGCCGAGCGGGTAAACACGGGCTGAGAGCGATCGAGATCACGGCCTGTTGACTCGGCCTCGCTTCACGAACATATTCGGCCTACAGTAAAAAAAGGCCTCGGTGCACTCTGGCGCGCGGTGCCCTGCGTTTGGACCGCTGGAAATCGTATTACTTTTCTATTTGCTTTTCTTTGTAGTCGAGTGTTACGTAAATATGAACGTGTTCGTCGGAAATTCTCGTTTCCTTCGAGAATTCATGGAGACGTTGCGATGGTTTTAAAATTTTTGTTCTACTTTTTAAAATAATAGACAAAGAGATGAAACGGATATAGGAGTTATAGTTAACGCGGTCGCCGACGGTCGGTGCGCGGCTATGATGACTCAATTCCCACATAATTTACGTGGGAGCTCTGGTAATAGGTCTGGCGTATTTTGTACATTATATAAACACATTAGCACTTACGATGACCATATTTATCAAAAGGTTAGTCGTCAACACGTCAAATTATTACACATCATATTAGCAAGCTAATTTGATTTCATTATAAGACGACCGTCGGTCAAGTTTTATCATCGATAATCTAGTTTTTATATTATATTTTAATTGAAATAAATAATTATGTATTGACGTAGCTATTAACAGCCAATAAGATATAAAGAGATATACCTATCTCATTTATACATTTATCAAAACGACACTTAATATTTTATAATGCCTATTATAAGACTAGGTAATTTCGCTTTAGTTCTCGTGGAAGGAAAAAACTTAATGGACACAATTATTTAGCAAACATTTATTGGATAAGTAAAAAACCGAATCATGAATTGAATTAACATTTGACATAAATCAATCTAGTTTATGTCAGTGTGCAGTGATGTTTTAAAAGCATAAATCTGTACGTAGGTGCAGTAAATTGGGTCTGAGTTATACCTATTGACACCCACGAGTGCTTTAAAACAAAAACGAGGGATAAACATATTTGCTTGTCCATAATATAGGGTCCTTTGCACTTGTCACGTTGGTAGAAAATCAAACAGTGCTACAAACTAAAGTCCTCGTGGAAAAAAATCTGAATGGCTTTCACGAACAAACGCGATGTGTGCACAGCGATAAAGCCTGTGTGAATGTCAAAATATTGTCTTTTAGAGGCCTGTGTCCCCATGTTTGAGTAATTAAGAGTGTGTCGTCCTGTGCCGTTTTGTTGTATTATGTCTACAGGAATGTTTTAACCCGTTTTCGGTGATTAGTTTGTACTTTACATGTGTCTTACTTTTGTGTTATAGGATTTTAGAGCTGCTCACTTAGAATTTAGAGTTAATAATTGATTAATTTGTCTCGCTATAGCCTTTGTCGTGAATATCATAAAGTCTACATTAGGTATTTCAAAATAGGCACATGATGATGAAGATAATAGTTCAAAGATCAACGCCATTCCATATTACCTTAAAACGACTTCCTTGCAATTTGGATTTAGCGACATATGTCTTTAAAATGGAAGATTTCATTCGTTATACACGACCTGCATACAAATCAGCCCTTTATTATTTAATTTGTTGGCGACTTGCAAGGCGTCAAAATATCAAAGTTAAAAACCAATTTAAGAGGACACTTTGGTAATAAGACTTTATATGTGTATGGCGTGTCTTGTTACAATGGTTTTTGTTATCAGAGGTATCGTGACGTTGGCACGCGATTTCGAGCGTAATGTAATATGGACTACGAGTGATGAATACGAATTAAGTAAGGTGTGGCGATTTCTTTTTTGCTTGAGGCACTGTACGGGCATTTTATGTGCTCCAGTTGGGCATTAGTGCCCCAGGGTTCAATCGCTTGGACCACTGGGCATATTTTAAAACGGCCTAGTAATTAAAAGTATAAGAAGGAATCAATGAAATTGATTATTTTATTCTTTATGTACCGTTGTTTATTTCATAATTCCTCAACTGATTTATTTTATCTTTTATTAAAATTTAAAAAGTCTTTATCGTTTTTATGAATGAAATAATTTATTTGTAACTTCTAAAAATGGCTTAATTAAAATCTAAAATAAAAATTGGCGACATTTATTTTATAATGAGAACTTTTAACTCATTTTTGCGTGTCTCAAGTGGTTGTTGGTTTATTTTTAAATCTGTCTGCGTTAATAGTGTGGGGTTGAGAGGAATGGAACCGATATTCCATCTTCCGGCAGCTGCCATGAGAATTAAGTGGCCGCCTTATATTTCATATAAACTTGATAAGATTTATTTATAGTTAAATTCACTTTATAAAACTGTTTATATACAAAAAATAACTTTATTAATTGGTGTCTATTAAAGCTTTGAATGTCATTATGGTGTCTGCGTTTAGTGATTAATGTTCAAAATAATAAAACTAAAGAGATTTGCACGTATTCTTTTGGAATATTTTGTCCGATTACCAAAATTGTAATAATTGTTAATAGGTTTAATTAATGCTTTTATTAAATCGGTGAATGAGATTAAAATGAGTTCAATAGAATTTAAAACAACTCATTTTCTACTCACGTTAGCTATTATTGAAACTTAAACAATTGATATTTATTTTTGACTGTAGGTATTATTTTATGATGAAATAAATCTTACTTTTATAAACAAAGTACCACTATTAACACAGTTCACGTACCATTTACGACTGTTTCTGTAGAAAGTGGGTAAAAATTTCGTTCAAAGAATTCACGCCACCGACGGCCCACGAGACCGATTGTATCGCAGCCTTTTGATTGCTCTCATACGTGTTTATATGTTAAAATAGAAAGCCTTTTTGTTTTAAAACCAGGATAAAAATAATTACACTCATAATAACAGATAAAAACTAAAAATTCACTTAAAGTGAGTTAAAATGAGTGAAGCGATTAATTTATCAGCTATCATCGTACGTGTATGAATTAATTCAGGATATATATTATATAAATTAAATATTAATATAATGATTGTAATTGATAAATATTAATGGATGTTATTAGTATTAGATATTATGACAATAAATTAATATTTATTTATGAATGATTAACGGATTAACCGAAGTAAGATTATTTTATTTTTAAAAAGAACAGCATCAGCGGCCGTCGGCGGCTGAATATGATATGGTTGAACAATTATCTAGAAGTTTAACCATACAATATCTAATTACATGGTTAATATATGACAGTAAATTATTAAGTATGTTTTGTCTTTAGTAAATAACTACTTAGTACTTGCCAATTAATCAAATTCAATACTTTTTCGAACGGTCAAATACGATAGTTTTCTATGAATTTTGTACGAGATTGTGTATTGTGATGTCACGTTTTTTTAGCATCAAACAGCATACTTATTTCTCATAGTTAAGTTGGTCATAAAATCAATTAATGAAAGTGTGATTATTTTTTTATATTTTAATGTATTGATATCCAAATAATTTATTTTTGATTAAGAAAAGTACCCATGTATAACTGTGATTCTCACTTTTCATTTCATTACTACGGCTAGTGGAGACGAAATAATAGCAAAGTTTTACGTTTATATTTTTTATCTTAAATTAATTATACAAACATAGCGTATATTTGTACAATGCAATAGCACGAGCCACTGTGTTTACACAGTTATTAACTAGATAAAAAAAATAACGTTACGCTTATGAATAGTATAGAGAAGAACATATTACAAAAAAATTAATAATCCTTTTTTACTTTTATTATTTAAATTATAAATGTAAAAGAAATAATGCAATAATTATTAATTATAAAATTAATAGCTACAAAATATGAAATATTAATTCATAATATTTTGTTTAACATTTAAACGGTATGGTTATGCATAAATATTTATGCAATAAAATTAATTGAAACATAATTTACAGGATGATTATAAATACAACTAGAAATGGTTACATGACATTTCTAGTACTTGGTACTAAATAATCTTAAGCTTAATTGGTATAACTTCCTTCAGTATCTATCATAGACTAAACTAAGTTGTTTAAACTTGACAGGTTTAACATAAACCGTTTGCTCGCTGCATAATTTAGGGGACACCCCAAGGTATTTAGTTAAAATTATACTTTAATTACATTGTTATAAAGGTCATATATTTTATCCTCGAAGAGATAGACAGAGGTGCACATTACCGCACTTAATGGGAACAACACCCATTTTTCACTATTTATGTAATGAGTCCTATGTAATAAGAGGGTGAGCCTATTGCCATATACCGGGCACAATTCCAAACTCCGTGATACTACTGAGAAATTTTAAAAAACCCCAGTAATACTTTGCCCGACCCGGGAATCGAACCCGAACCGCCTTACCCAGCAGTCTTGCGACCACTAGGCCAATGAGGCAGTCGCAGCATTATAAAGAACATTTTCTTTTATTAAGCAAAAATAATACTCAAATTAAACTCACAAACGATACCTATTTAAGTATAAAAATGACGTAAAGTAAAGGAAATATCTAATGCGTTTTTTTTTATTACCAATCATATTGTACTGAATATTTTTTTAAGGGGGAACATCATCGAATGACTTCTCCCGCCTGGGTGAGGCGGGAGGGAGTGTGGGACTCTTACTGACTAAAAACCACCCCGTTCCTTCTCCTGCACTTCGATCCGGAGCCACGGTAACCCGTTAAGTTCTCCGCGACATTGTACTGAATTTAGATCAGTGATTAACTATATTATTTTTATTTTAGGTCAGTAAGACTAGCATTCATTTTATTTGTCAAATCATAACTATCATTGGCAACACAAGAGACGCATAATGCCGGCGGTCACTCAAATATTGTCTTTGTATAGTATTGAATAGGTTTTTAAGTAAAATTTAATATTACCTGAGGTTTTTACACGTCTAGAACACTGTGAAATTTTAAAGTAACGTTTGTAAATAAGAATGTTAAAGTTGATAAATCTGGAGCCGTCGGTGCTCTGTTTACACATATTTTAATAAAAATGTATGTTATAGTATTGAATTAAACTAGCATTTAGTCTAAATTATTAGAATAATTAAATTATGTACCCTCTAATAGCTTGTCCTAATGCTTAAGAGACATTGCAATGTTTCTTCTTAATTATTAAAATGCAACAAAACTTTTACTGATCATTCTGACAACTAGTTGAAAGAAATGCTCTATATTTTATAAACAATTTGTTAAATACAAATCACATATAATATAACAACCTTAAAAACACAAGAAAAAGTATTTAGAAAATCACTAAAATGTACAAAATGGTAAAACATTGAACAAGTTTATTAGTATCGTAAATAAACGTTTACGTTCCGGCCGGCGCGGGTGCGTATGCGCATTTTCAATATCAACATAATTAATGCTGCCTTTGATACATTGCTAATTGGTGCAATATTTATGTGTTGTTGCTTTATAATGTTTACACAAAATTAATGAGTTTCGACGGCGTTTAAACCAATTTGGGATAAATATTGCATTTTAATGCATGTGTTTATATTAATGTATTTGTTTATTTAATTAAATTTTGTATTTATATTATAACATTTCTTCAATATTTTTAACTTAGTAACATTTTTATGTTATAAAAATTTAAATAAGCGACGGCACAAAGTTGTAGTAAAATACATTATATATTTTAGCATGTCGCTTTCACACATATAAACATCAATCAATTTATTATGCTATGTAGGTAAGTAGGCATGTATCATAAGTATAGATTAACTATCTCGAGTCATAAACTAAGATGAATGACTTAAGAAGTAGGTGTTAAATAATACGACCTTTAAACTCACTTGTAAGATTGACAAATTAAATATAAATACGAAGAATATTATTGTCATCGCTATTTAAACCATAATGTATTGGAAACTTGACTAATATCCGTTAATATATTCGTTTTTGTAAAGATTTTGACGCGAATTTATGTTTCAATCACCATTATCATAATTTTTATTGCGTGATTTTTTCTATTATACGTCATCGTATATAATAAATTTCGATTGTATCTAAATGGCTAGTTTTCGCGACATATATTTTTTTTAATAACGAAATATATGTCTTATATAAACTTTAATTATAATTATTATTCATCATTAAAATTTTCACTTTTTATACTCATGCCATTATCATTTAAAATTATATTTAGAAATAAATATTTTTAACACAAAAATTATAATAAAAAATGTGTGTTCTACAACATTTATAAGTCTACGGCTAGGGATTAGTTGGGTCGCATACCAGAAGCTCTGTGATAGTAAATGCAAATAACACTTGATGCCCCTGTCAGTCAACCAGAACTCAACGGGAGATATTTTGTCACCAACAAAATGAAATCTAACAGCTGATGGCAAAAAAGCTGTTGAAATATAATATATTTACTTTAACGCGTGTTACTGTGTCATGCCCATATTCAAGGTATGAGTGGGCTGTCATACGTGATTCGATTGTCAATGAGCAACTTAAGTATCACATTAGTCACTAGATATTAAACAGACAGAAACTACGTGAAATGTCATATTTAATCTGTAATGAGTTCTCACTTAACATTTATCATTATACGCGGATTTTATCACGTTCTTTTTCAAGTCGAAAGTTTATATTACTTGTGTCAGAAAGCCATTAAATTGATTTCGTTTTATGACCGATCCGTTACAAACAGTACAACAAATTGGTTGCTCCGTAGTATTAAGTTTTAGTATGCTATTATCGATTTCACACTGCTACGCAAGTTGTTATGCCTTGTTTAATACTCTGCTAATTATTTCGAGCCCAATTTGTGTTGAACATCTGGTAACTATGTCTACAATGTTGTGTGTGGATCGTGTTATGCGGAAGGCACACGACAATAACGCCAAATTGCTCACACTGTCATATACTTTACGACAGCACGAGTAAAAATCAAACAGTGAGAGATTTTTCTTACGTTTTATGATTGACAATGTCCGTTTTTTTAGTTTGTTTAACTTGAATCACTTAGGAGATTGATATTAGGTTAAGAATGACTTGTACGCTACTTATAAGATGTAATTTTGTAACTATATTAGTTAAAACAACAGTCTAACACAGTTCAATCGTTTAACACAAGAAAATGTCAACAAAGCACTACTTAACATAAGAACTAGGGGGAGCAAATCAAAGATTAAGAACAACAAAAAGAGACACGACTTACCACCACATGCTGCCGCGTCCTCTCCGAGGTTTGTTTGCGGCTTCGCACGTAAAACACAGAACGATCACAAATAACCACAGGCACTTCATTGCGATGGGCGGACCCCGCGATACATGAGCGCGGCGCTTCGAGTCACGTTTACGTCTGTCGGGCGATACAGCCACGGCCATCGAGGCGGGGTCGCTGTAAGAATTGGTGGGAGGTATCTACCTGTCACACCGCCCGATTGGTCTCACACTTCTGTTTTTTTTTTTCGTTGTTACAATAAGTAATCTTTGTCGTGTTTAGGTCATTAGGTTATGTGTGATATTTTTGTGTAATTGGCCCGTTTTGTGTCAGTTGTCCTATGATCAGCGACTATGATTATCGATGACTATTTTTGTCTCACGATTTTCATTTAAAATTCATCGTTTCATTGAAAAGTTTATTTCGTAATAACCTGAATTCGTTCTAGAATTTACTTTTATACTTTCAAATCAACAACACATTATGTTATCTATAGATTTTTAAAAACTGTGAGTCTTAATACGATTTGTATTCAATTTTACTTCAGAATTCCTAAGATGCAATACTTGCAACATTAATAGTAGCCACACAAATATAATCCTTATTCACCTAACAATAAGGATTGCTAAATAAATGTTAGATTGTTGTGTATCGTCACAGGTAACAACGGTATGATTGAACTATTCGCAACTTTGTTACATCAGTTATCATTAAAACAACTCTTGCGCATATTTCTGCGAAATAGTTAGTAGGTACTTACAAAGGTGAGTACTATATTTTTAAACTGAATTGTAAATAATAGACAAAGTAATAATATCATGACCAATGAATAAAAGTACCAAGAGGTAGTAAGTAGAAGATATCAATAAATAATGTGTTCCTACAATGTAATTCTCAGTTACTTGGGAAATACTTCAGAATATTGGTTAATATTAACAGGTTGTAAGTTCTTTCTTGTCTTTAATTGATGAATTCAATTAATATTAACTTTATTGTAACGAAATGTCAATTTTAATTGATAATGAACTAAAAATATCAACACCTACATGAATAAATAAACTCCAATATAAAACACTTGAAAAATTAATAAAACCTCATTTCACTTCACACTTTTCGATGCGCGTGAGTCAGCGTTTCGCGCGTCGTGGTGGGAGGGGCGGAGGCGACGCGACAACCAATCAGCGCACAGCACTGTTGCGCCCGCGCATACAGACCGCGACCACGTGCGGCTCAAGCCGTGCGCCCACGCGCTTCTTGCGCACCGCTCGATTTTTTGAAAATCTTTTTCAGAATAATTCACACTTAAGATTTTGCTACGTATTTATGAGAAAATAATTTATCTGTAACATAAGGACGGAAAGGAATGACAGAGTTGTTACTAAAATCACTATAAAGTTTGCTACACAGCGTTATTAACTAAATACATTGAATGAAGTGCTTACCAAATGCAATTTTGACAAACAAAACAATTAGAAAAAAATATCTGAAGTGTCATATCATTCATTCATCATATATAAATGTAGATAGATAAAAAATTTACAATGACTTCATGTCACGTAGACAAGTTATAACTTGTCGAATTGTATAGAATATACATTGTAAAAAACGATGTTACGAACTAAATAAGAAATATTTCGGTAAATTAATAATAAATAGTAATTATGCTTAGTTAACCTATAAGCTACGATATGTTATAAGCCACGTTCATGATAATAAATAAGGCTTTTTAAATTTATTTAATACTTTCGTAGCGTCGCCGTAGCACTGACGTAGTCTTAATTTAACAATTCATTATTCTAATTACATCGTTTTTCAGACAACTAGTATTATATTAGTTTATACGAAGACATATAAAAGCTTCAATTGTGTATATTAATAAGAAAAGCCTTAGGTAATATTACAAATGAAAACATTTTTGCTTGCTACGGATCTACGCATCAACCGCGCCCTTATAAAGACATCAACGCGGGCGGTCTACAGAATGCAAACAATTTCACTTACCGTATTTATAGTCTGAATAAGTAATTACCTCATTTTCAGTAAACAAAGGTTGATATTAAATATTTTCGACTGTAAACTAATAAAAACTAAAGTTACGCCATGTGCCATTTGATTCCTTACCTTATAAAAAATCCAAGGTACAAACACGGATGTGGCCCAATAGGGCTGATGCCAATACGTAGCCGCGGAGGACTTAACGGGTTGCCGGGGCTACGGATCGAAGGGCAGGAGTAGGAACGGGGTGGTTTGTAGTCAGTAAGAGTCTGACACTCCTCTCGCCTCACCCGGCTGGGAAAAGTCATTGGATGATTTTCCCCCCTCAAAAAAAGGTACAAATTGCTATATATTAAATATATTATATTAATTTTTTTATAGTTGATATGAAAAGCATTCTAGAATTGTATATAAAAATAACAATTTACGAAAATGAAAACATTACGGAACTAGAAACAGATAGCTTCCTTCACAGATAACAAAACAGAAACAATAAATTGAATTTTTTGCTCATAAAATGTGTATGACAACATGTCTCAAGTGTTACTAAGTCACAAGAACTTGGCACGTGTTGCATGTGTCGTCACAATATTTGAGGGTTAATTGAATATCTATGTTTGGTTCAAAAGGTTGAAATGTTGACTGCCGAGGGGTGAAAATTATGGCAGATGGTGAAGGTCGTTTTTAATTGATTTTAAGTGGTTCTGTGTTTGGTTAAAATGTTAATAGTTATTTGAAAAAAATAACGTTGCCCCATACTAGGATTTTCTTCTGTGTCGTGGATGCGTTTACAAACATAAACGTTCGCATACACATCACACCCAGACCCAGAACAATAGTCTGTGGATCACTCAGACTTGTTACGTGCGGGAATCGACACGTTGTGAAGCAGCTAGGTACCCAGCCACCGCGTTAATCGTGCAGTCAAGTTTTGGAAGTTCAAATGACATACTTCATTTGTGTTATGTGTGGTTTTGCTCGGGGTCCTACAGGACCATTTTATATGCAATGTACTAAGAACCGTTTTCAGAAAATATCATGTAGGTAAATGTAGCAAGATATCATTGATTTATAAACTCTATAAACCCAAAACATTATTTACTTTTACGCTTCATTATATAACACTTCTTTGTACAATTTAGTTGTACTATAAAATAATAATCTGAATCTGAAGTAATTCTATGACAACAAAATAATAAACAAAACAATTTTTCAAAAAAACACTCTTGCTTTATTTAATAAACAATAGAGCAAGACTATGGATACGGCAGCAATTTCAACGGTACTCCGGCCCAATAATTAAAAACATACAAAATTAAACGTACACATTGTTACAACTCAATGAAATTCCTTCACGCTGACAAAATCACGCCATAATTTTTGGTAGTCACGCTAAATTCTGTTAATTTGCCAATTGTTGTTTGTACAAACCTTATTTCAAGGAGTACAAGGTTGAAAATTGCGTGTGAAATTCGACTAAGCGTTAAGAACTTCATTCAGTGAAACAGAAGTGTGCTGGACAATGGTCACCGTGAAATTAAGACTAGTGGAAATGAATAAACGCTCATTACGAGCAGTTGAGCATTGTTTGTTAATTTTGTACGAAAAAATTTGGCATCCTAATTTACACCTAAACTTTTAAGTCATAAGGTTGAAAATTAAATAACTAAAAGGCAGTGGTAGCACTTCACGGGTGACCAAATCTTGTAAATAATTGACAATGGGGGTGTTAAACATAAATTCACTGGATTTTTTATATAGATGGCGTTGTTCGTATGTTTTATGGCGCGCATTGTGATAAGTGAACGGAATTGATTATTTTTGTTGTATTTTGTGAATGAATGGATTCAAGATATGTGGTATCAGCTGCTGTCGGCATGCGTCATCGAAGGTTGGGGGATTCACGGTTGATTTTGAAAGAATTTGCAATTTATATAATTGGTGTATTGAGTACGCTAATATTAGTTTTACATATAAATAAAAGTATAAATAAGTAAAAAATTGTATTACCTTCTATGAGAAAAACTATCTTAAGTAAACAACGGCAACGTCAAAAGTATTTGTGCAAATATTAACCCCAAACAACACGTTATAATCCTCAACACCGAAAACAAATTAATTATGTAAACCAAATTAAGCGGCCACCGAAACCGGTAAATAATTAATGAGAAAAACACATAAACAGAAGAAGCTGCGAACAAATAAAATGATATAAACCTAATATTTTTCACAAACATTTTTTTCTTACATAGCAAACTCTGTTTGTTTCAAACAACCGACAGCTTACTGCCAAAAATAAACATGAAAGAAAAAAGACCCGTGAACAAGAATGATTCAAGTCGGCCCTTTCCCATCCCTATCTTATCTCTTACGAAACACAAATATCATATCTAAGACAATGCGCAACTTTACAAATAAGTTCTATAAACCGACAATGAGTTTAACTTTAAACACTGAAACAGCACATTGGAAAAGCAACTCTACTTTTACGCAATTTAAAGTAGCTTTCAGGTTTGTTGCAACTAAAACCTTGTATCTGTCTACAAACCTCGGCACTTATTGTGTCTTCATTGCTTAGAGTGAACGTAAATACGGTTTTATTGTATTTACGGATGATATTCTGTTGAAAGGAGTCCGTGTGGTCGCCTCCCGGAGTGTCATAGGAAAAAATGACCATTCGATCCTTTACAATAGGTTTATGACGATGACAACTTATTAGGTAGCCGACCATTTTTCCTATCTGGAATTGTAAAGTTACCGCCAAATCTAACACCGGGAGTCGCTGATGGCCCATCTATGACAAAGCGCATTCGTCCATTTTGTTCACGAAAACGATTAATTCTCGGTGGCTGTTATGAAAATGAATTGTCATCATTTTTTAATCCGTTCGTTATTTCATGGTTGAGTGTACGGTTCGAGTTTTAATTTGGACAACTATGTTTGGGTTGGTTTCTGTTCGATATCTTAATTGTTATAGGCTTGAGAATTATTTTTCGGTATCGAAAAAAGGTAATTTTTTATGATGGTAATGTTGCCTTTACAGTATGAGGTATGTACATAAATAATTATATGCCACTAGTATCAACGCAAACAAAACTCTTTGCTTAATAAACTGCTAAACAACTAAGTATATGTACCAATCCATTCATCATGATTTGGTCCAAAAAAT